GCTGATGACAAAAGGATTTGAGATGTCCAGACATTTTCTTTCATGAAGTTATTATAAAATTATTCTGAAAATTGGCAAGTATAAATAATAAGTATAACTGACTTGTACTTACAAGCCTGTAGCCTTTTTCATACCTCACACTTGATTTTAAAATGTCTAGTATGTGTTAATTAAATGAAAATACTCTTAAAGTTCTAATCTTAGGAGATCTGTCAGATTTTGTACATGTGGCCAGTGATACTTTGTCTACTTTTTAAAAGTAAGCATAATGAAGCAGGGTGCTCGTGGCTCATGCCTGTAATCCTAGCTACTCTGGAGGCTGAGATCTAAGGATTGTGGTTCATAGCCAGCCTGGGCAGGAAAGTCTGTGAGACTCTTTATCTTCAATAAACCACCAGAAAACTGGAAGTGGTGCTATGGCTCAAATGATAGAGCCCTAGCCTTCAGCTGAAGAACTTGGGGACAGCTCCCAGGCTCAGAGTTCAAGCCCCACCACCCACAAAAATAAAGGAAAAAAGAAAAAAAAGAAATGAAACGAAAAGAAATAAGCATAATGTAACTCTTTAAAGAATTAAATACTCTAGAGGTGAGATAGTTAAAATGTAGCTATGAGAAATAACAGACTTGAACAATGGCAAAACCTTTATTCTTAGAAATGCACGAAATTTGAGATAAAATGCATAAATGATTTAGACAAATATCTCAAAAATGATAGCTTCATTTAAATGGGCCCTTTATACTATAAAGCAAAAAGCCTTTTTGTGCTTAACCCAGGGAGTTTAATCTTGTGATTCTATAACTAGCAAGAAAAATAAAGAAAACAAAACATTTATTCAATCCATTTGTTTGATAAAACAACACATGAGTTATCTACAAAACAAAGGCATTATGGAAGAACATGAGACGGATGTAATACTTCTGCAACTATTTCCAGGAAATAGGTAGGCTCTGCCTCATTTTTTTGTCTTTGAGATTTCAGAAATGTTTGGAAGTTAGGACTCAAAACCCTGCCAGAGGTCACCAATAACTGGGCTGAAGTGTGTAGAATACTGCTATAACTTCTTGACATATCTAAGTGTAAGACCACATGCTGGCATATATCTGAGGACACTTGTTTGTTAACTCCAAAATACTGGCCAAGCCGGGTGCCATGTCTCACGCCTGTAATCCTAGCTACTCAGGAGGCTGAGATCTGAGGATCGCAGTTCAAAGCCAGCCCAGGCAGAAAGTCTGTGAGACTCTGATCTCCAATAAACGAAGCAGTAGAGTGCTAGCCTTGAGCTGAAGAGTGCAGGGACAGCACCCAGGCCCAGAGTTCAAGCCCCACGACCAACAACAACAACAAAAAAACAAACAAACAAAATACTGGCCAAAACTATGTGAAGAAACAGAAAACATTTTCATTTATACTTCAAGTTTAGCATTCTTTTAATCCTTTAGTTTACATCTCCAGATGCTTTTTTGTCAATAGTTGATTTACATATTTTCTTTGTGTATATGCAATGCAAATATTTTTATTCTATTGAAGTGTTTGAATTTTGATTTCCTTTTCTCTTAGAATGTATTCTTTATTTTCTACTTAGTCCATCTCTGTTTTCTATTCAATCCTTCTCTATTAGGAAATGAGTTGAGAATACAGTTGTATGTCCTCTGTGAGCTCCACTGTGAATGCGTGGTAGTGAGTGGGGGCAGGAAGGGGTACTAGTAATTTTTAATTATTATCATTCATTTGAGCAGAATCCTTATTTTCCCTACCTCATATCTTTTTGTTTTTCTTCATCATAAGATCTGTAATGGTTTACCCTACTTCAATACCAAAGACACCCTCTTCTCCTTCCAAAGCAGACTATAGGACTCCTTTCTTAAGTTCTATAACTTCCTAATGTTCATGTTCTTGCTTTGTCCAATGATCTGTCATACCCAGCCCCTTTGCAGCATTTTCTTGACAAGAATTGGACTCTGTCTTTTTGGATGGTTAATTATATCTATGATTCACCATCATCCCCAACCTAAGGCTTTTCTACATCAGATTCTTGTTTTTGAAGCATTCTTCATATTTCCTGAGAACATTTTGTTTCAGCTATGGAAGGTATCTGCTAGTACTGTACATTCTAGTCACTGTTCAAAAAAGTCATTTATTTTTGCTCCTAGATTTGTGGAGAATTAGGCTTTGGATCATTTGTTTGCTTTGGTGGTTGCTGTTGTTGTTTACAGATAATGAAGAATATGTGGAGATATTTGCATTTAAGTAACACCATATGGTAAAGTGGGAGTTCAACTGAGAATTTTAAAGAAACTCAACACAATCTATTAATATTTCTTTCTTTACATTCTCACCTTACAATCACACTGAACCAATTTTGAGATAAGTCTATAATTTCCCCATTCTTATTCAAAGAATAAGGCCGTATTTGAAAATTGTAACTTTGTCTTCTGCCCTACAGATAAAAATCCATATATCTCCTATTGCCTCTTTTTCTTGTGGGCTCAAAATTGGACGTTTCACTTTATCTATAGCATCTGTTTTAGAATGTTGACCTGAAGAACAGATTTTTTTCATACCTGCTTTGTATAATCTGCATTTTACAACTGTTGTCTGTGAAACTATTTTCTACTATTAGTATGAATGTCATGTCTTTGTTTAAATAATAAATAGCTCTTACACTAAATACAAAAATAGACAGCAAGTTTTTAACTAAAGAGATGAGTGGTGGACAAGTGCTTCTGTTAGTCATTGGTTTCAAATAATTAATGCTCACATAACAACACTTTGTGTTTATTTACCTATCGCACATGGGACCCTCAGTGTCAGAGCATTGCAACTGCCATTTTAATCTTCATAAGACAAATTTAATTCCAGAATTTCACTTTACAGCACATCATTTAGAATAGAAATGTAAGGAGTTGGCTTTAGCTATTTTAGTCTCAAGAATTCTTAAAATATTTCAGGAAGGAATACAGAAACCAGGAAATTCATTGCTGGAGTCTTGTCTTGGGACCAGATAGCTTCCATCTGGATCAAAAGGTTCAACTAACAAAACAGCCAAAGGAAAAAGTAGATTTTATCAAATCATTCTGGAAAACATGCTATAAACTCCTAGGAAAAAGTAGTTTGGAAATCCTGGTGATCCAAGTGTTCATATTTTCTTGCCAACAATATACTTAGCAATGCATCCTTTATTTAACAGTAGCTCAACTTCATTACCACCATTGTTTTCTAAAAGACTGATTTCCCCTCTCCCCCAAGAGCTTGGAGGAAAAGTATGAATTCGTTAGTAAATCTTTTGGGAAAGAGAGGATAGAAATAGATTGTATTCCTGCTAAGATCTGTGTCTGATATTTTTCATACTATTTTCTTTCATTTACTCATACAAGGAAACAAATCAGATATTTTCCATGGTTCCTGACTATTACAAGCACTGGGGATCTATCATGGTGGTTCAATGCTTGCTGTGCAGTCATCAGGTCTTGGTTTCAACCCCCAGCCCTTCAGGGAAAAAAATTGCTAGCAATATATAGGGTGATGTTATTTATTTTCAGTGTCCTTAAAACCCTTACTCACAAAAGAAATCTGCTTAGTACAGACAGAACTTTATAGTTTAAAAGAATGGGAGTATAGTGGAAAGTTTAATGACATCATGATTAACTGTATTAATCATCAATTGCATGCAAGGCAAGCACTCTACCACTGAGCCACCTTCCCAGTCACAACCCAATTACTTTTAAAAAGAAACAAATCAATGGTTCATTCATTAATGAATGGTTCATTTCAAATGATAAGAGGAAAAAACTATTTAGTAATCTTTAATATGGAGCCAGTTTGAAATCTACATCTAGGTCAAACTGAATTTGTCAAAGCCCTTTTGAGCACATCTCTTTGCTAGTTCAGAGATTTTCTTGGGCCCATGTTCACAGGCAGATTCCTGCTTCTCCAGAACCTTCCATGTGAAATTTCTCTCTTTGTTCTCTGTGGTATGTTAGCAGGTTCCAACTGTGCCAGACTGAAAGGCTATTAGGCCTCTCTGTCTGTCTCAGAAAGTTATGATGGGGGGGGGCATGGAAAGAGGTCTCTTAGTCACTGTTGATGGGAATGCAAACTAGTCCAGCCACTATGGAAATCAGTATGGAGATTCCTAAGTAATTAAATCAAGCTTTTATAGGATCTATGTAAACAGATCCCAGGTAGACACCCAAAATAATCAAAGTCATCTTAATGTACAGATACCTGCATATTCATGTTAATGTTCTTAAAATATACAGTAGGTAAGTATAAAATCAAGTGACCATCAACAGGTAGCATATATACATATATATATGACATGTGTATATATGACACACAATTTTTTATTCAACCACAAAGAATAAAATCATATTGCTTTCAATAAAGTAAATGGAACTAAAGATCACTATTCTAAGTGAAGTATGCCAGACTTGCAAAGACAATTATTAAATAATTTCTCTCATTTGTGTTAGCTAAGGAAATATAAAACAAAAAACATGACAATAAAACAAGATCATAAAGGTCAAAAGAACACTACTAGGTAGGTGAGAAGGGAAGTAGAAAAGAGGAAGAGAAAAGGGTGAAGCAAGGAGGGGAGATAAGAAAGAGAATAAAGAGAAAGAATAAGAAAGAGTAACAGAAGATATATGAAATCAAAGTCTAACATATATTTATATATCATGTATGGAAATATTATGATGAAAAACCTTACTAGGTACAATTTTATATGTGCTAACAAAAATGATTTTCCTCTTTACTTAGAAATAGCTATCTGTTTCAGGAAACTCGACACAATGATGCTAGTAACATGATATTACTATGTATACATAGTAATATGAAGTAATAAAATCCCACTTTCCAATTAAATTTGGTAAAAAAAAACAATAAAGTAAAAATAATAATAGCTGAATTCGGAGCAAATCAGTAGCATCTGTCCTCTTCCTTTGCTCTGAGCAGCCCCCGTGTATTTCTAAGAAATTCCTGCCATTTTCCAACACAGTGTACAAACGACCTCGTTCATAGTGGAGAAGCTAAGAGTAGCCTGGACTGTCGAGGAAAGGTTTCCAAACTCCAAGAGTCAGAATCCGAACTAGACAGCAACCAGAATTTGCTTCCAGGCTGCGAAAGTAGACAAATTAGAAAGAAGATGAAGCAAGAGTTTGGGCTGTCAATGATGGTTGCAGCTGTACTTGCACTGAGAGGGCCCTGGTCTGCCTGGGCTGGGTTTCAGGCAGATATGAAATGAAGCCTTGCTTGGGTCCAACCTCCTGTGGCTCGACTGCTGATAGACACCACTGAGGACACGAAGTGATGGATGGAGAGGTTCTCTCAGAGGAAGGTTCAACACCCTCCCCGCCACCCCCATGGAGAGGGACAGCCATTCCCCAGTTACACACGGTCACAATCCCAGTGCCTGGGCCTCACATCTGCCCACTACCCTGACTCTACAGAAAAAGGCCTCACTGTGACATTTCAACTGATAAAGGATTTCATTTCAGCGAGTAACTGCATCTTTGCTCTAATCCTAATTTCCTAAATGGGTTCTATTTACAGCCCCCCACACCCCCAGAGGCTAGTGTTTAACCAGGTCATCAATTCGAAAGCTCTGGAACATGTAAGAGAGAACATACAATACCCCCACCGCCCCACCCCCGCCTCCCAAACATCACTATGGTCATTCTATAGAAAAGAGACAGAGAAAAGTGCCCTTGCTCCCCCGAGGGCCCCTTTTGTGCTGTTCCTGCCAACGCAGCAGCCCTCCTGCTATATAGACGGCCACGCTGCGCTGCGGACACACACAGCTCAACCTCACAGCCGCCTCCACCAGCCATGGGCAAGGTGAGTCCAAAGGGCGCCCGGCCGGGAGGGGACCCTGCTGCCCACCGGGCCCCGGGCAGAGCCCCCTGCAGCGCAGGCGTCTGAGCCCCGGCCTGGCCTCGCCTTGCAGATCACCTTCTACGAGGACCGCGGCTTCCAGGGCCGCCACTACGAGTGCAGCAGCGACCACTCCAACCTGCAGCCCTACTTCAGCCGCTGCAACTCGGTGCGCGTGGACAGCGGCTGCTGGATGCTCTATGAGCAGCCCAACTACCAGGGCTGCCAGTACTTCCTGCGGCGGGGCGACTACCCCGACTACCAGCAGTGGATGGGCCTCAGCGACTCCATCCGCTCCTGCCGCCTCATCCCCTACGTGAGTCCCCTTCCCCGTCCCTCCAGGGTCCCCAGGCACGTCCAAGGGCCTCGCGACCATCCATCCCCAAGGTTTCTTCCCCCTGGAAAAGGCCGGGGGGGGGGGGAGCCGAGCTCTTCGTGGCTAGATCCCGTCCCCTGGTGCTGTGCCCAGTGTCCGGGCCCCGGGGATGGACGGACGGACGGACGGCTGCTGGCTGTCCCTGGGCCGGAGGCAGCTTGGGCCACACTGCCTTTCCCGGGGTCACCTGCCCCATGGGGCTAAGGAGAACGGTGAGGAGTCCCCGCAGTCCTGACCGGGTGGAAGGGGGTTACCTGACACTGGCCGGCCGGGCCAGTCTCCCCCAGCACTGACCATTGTTATGGAGATCAGGGCGTCTCCGGGCTGGTTCCCAGGGCTCCCCAGCGCCCGCAGCGGCCCTGCACCGAGCTGCGCTGGGATCAGAAACCTCCAGCCCTGAAATGGGAAGTTCAGCCCGGGGCAGCCGCCTGGCCTTGAGTCCCGACCTGCGAGCCCAGGCCGGGCTGGGCCTTGGCTGCGCCCCAGAGCCCGGCGGGCTGCTGTTTGGGCCGCTCCGCGCGCGGCAGGCCGCGGACACCGACCCAGCCCCACACCCGCGAGGCCCCTCGCAGCGCCCGACCCCGCGGAAGAGGGGACAGGGAAGCCTAGCAGCCGGGCCCGCCCCTCCGACGGGGTCACCGTGAGCCTCCTCCCTGCAGAGCAAAGGCTCTGGGGCCTGGGGCGTCCGCCGGGCCGCGCACCCCCGACGGGAGCGGCGGGCCGGGTGGGCGGCGCTGGGCTGGAAGCGTCCGACTCCGGTTCGAGCTTCCCCGCAGCCCTCGGGCTATGAAAGGCACCACCAGGGCAGCGCACGAGCGGCGCCGAGCGGGGCCGGGTGTAGACGGGGTGCGGGAGGGACGGTGGGGCGCGCTCCTGCCTCTCAGGGCGCACGGCCCGCGCGGCCGGGGTCCCGAGGCCCCCCTCGGGGGAG